ATATATAATATTATTTTTATTTATTTATTTTTTACCACTTTTATTATATTTTTGTCAAATGCTAGAGATAATACAGAGGGGACAGGAAATTGAGGTATGGAGTACTGCAGTGATGACTTTTTTTAACCACCAAAAGTTTATGATTCTTGCAAGTTTTGTTCATCCTAATAATCTTTACATATGAACACAACTTTTATTAATTTTGAAGCGTAAACACAATCACCAGAAATAAAAACCAAACATAACCATGGTCACATGACTGCAGTGTCATCGTCACTAAGCTTCTGAAAAACCTTTTAAATCTTTATTTTAAAAAAATTTAAAAAATCCATGAAAGTTTGATTTAGAATAGTTTGCAGGGGAGCTATTCTAAAAAACAAATTCAAGCTGTGAAAGCGAATAGATGCATTTCAGCGTGATGACATTTATATCCCACACTTGTTAGCAGCTGCCTTTTTCAAGACCAGTAAAAGCTATTACTGATATATATTTTTCGCAGAATGAAAAATATCTTGATCTTGTGTTTACCACAGACCTTATTTCAGGCATGTAATCAAAAAAACCTATTAATTTCTGGTCGATGGAGGTGGAAGTGTTAAAATGCTAACACATTTCCTTGTTTTGACCTACAAAAATATGCATTTACATTTACATTTAGTCATTTAGCAGACGCTTTTATCCAAAGCGACTTACAAATGAGGACAATAAATATGCTTTGTACAATTGGGGTTACAACCCAGGTTTCATTCAAATCCGAGTCTCCCACATTAGCACCATGCCTCAATGTGTCCGACATGTGGTTCTTTTGGTTATTAATACTGTGTTTCAGTGGGTTTGTGTAGGACCTGAGAGTGCTGCCCGGTTAACAAATATAATGAAGTGTTGTCGTTGATGTTGTCACATTTGCTGAAGGAAGAAGTGTAGGACTGTGTCTGTGTGTATATGCTGCTGTGGGTTATGCATTTCCCAGCAGCCATTAGAGCCTGCAGAAGCTGATAGGGTGACTAATCTAGTTGTCAGTGCACTGACAGAGATGAATGACGAATGGCTTGATCCGTTTTCTTCACTAAACCCGTAGACTTAATGCTGCAGACTGGAGCCGAAGTAGCTCAGTGCTGCAGAACGCAACAGCACTGTCCACACTAGAGGTGTAACGGTACACAAACATGACGGTTACGGTTCGGTATGGTTTCTGTACAGCAGGATGAAAAAACTAAACATAAATTGCTTTTTTTTTTATTTAACAATGATTTACTGAACAAATTGTTTTTCAGGATTCTCTCATAAGAACAGCATTTATTTAAAAATAGAAATCTTTTTATATGTCTTTATTGACAATTTTCATCAAATCAATGTAATGTGTCCTTGCTGAATATAAGTATTAATTTCTTTCAAAAGAAATATTACACCAGACCTTTAAATTGTTGGTAGAATGAGAGAGAGACAGACAGACAGACAGAAAGTATTTATTTACTTCATGTATTTAGTAATTATTTTGTTCTTATGTGCATTTATCATGGGTGCTAATAATTGAAATATATATGTTTTATTATACAGGCTTTCACTAAGCCTGTACAATTAAACTTTGAAAACGCTAAATGCATAAGCACAGATGTGTGATACTGTTTCTGTTTGCACTCGGTGAGTGTGATTCTGCATCCTCACGTGGGCTTCATTCACACACATTTGCTATATCAGAGTGTAGCTGCTGTTTCTGCAGGTTAGTGTGAGTCGCAGGAGACCACTGGCCTCAAACTCCACTACACGTGCTGCAGTAGTGCAGCTGCTTCATAATCAACTTCTGGACGGGTTTCCAAATGACAGTGTTTTGTGGGAGTGTTTCTGATGAGTTCGGGCCTGTGTTTGTGTGTTTTTCCCACAGGGTTGATGAAGAGGGAGGAGCACCTAAAGCCCAGTCAGAAGTATCTTGCAGTCAGGTATGTGTGAAAGGTATGTTTGTGGTTGGGATGAGATCACTCGTTTACTTTGTGTCTTTTGAAAGAAAACCAACTTCTAGCCCAATTCGAGATATAAAGTTCCTCTCACTGATCAAATGCAGAGTGCACAGCTGCGTTCCTTAATAACAATCATTTTGAGCATAATATTACTCTGCAGTGCTCAAAAAAAGCAGCATACCACTTGCAGACTCAAATCATTCACAATCGGGCTCTGAAGGCTGTTGCCAAGCAACTGAACATTCCCGCCGTATCACGTGAACCGGTGTCCACAGGAAGCCGTCAGGATTCGGAGGTTTCGGAAGTCACACCCTGCAGTTAGTAAGAGCAGTTTTGAATAATGATAGTACCATGGCCCTGTGGTCACAGAGTGTTAAGCAATATGTCAACATTTACATAATGGATGAAACATAGTGTCATGTTTAATCATTGCTCACGTGCTGGTTACATATGCTGCAAACTCTTTCACGGTTGAGATGATCGCAGTCAGATCAAATTCCTGTTATCCTAGTGTAAATCTTGTATATAGGATTATATTTAACCACTGGACTAACTACTGTAATGGTGCTCAGCTGTTTTAAGAAAAAAAAGTGTAACTTTACGAGTAAAAAGTCAAGCGTGGGAAAATTCGACTTGACTGTTCTTGAGAAATGAGACGGATTCTCATTCCAGTGAACTGGTTCAAAGCAAGCAATTTATCAAGAGAAACAATGAGTCCTCATTGTGGCATTTTGATAATGTCTATATATGTATAATTTAATACGAGAAGAGCACAGATTGTTTTCAGCTCAGATATTTATGTTTGGGAATTTTCTATTTTAATTAGTTTGTCCTCCTCCTGTGTAAGCATAATGCCTATATTTTCATTGATTGATTTTTTTTTTTTTGCCAGATAAGCATTACTAAGTATTGCTAAAGAAATATCTATCTATCTATCTATCTATCTATCTGTGTCTGTCTGTCTGTCTGTCTGTATATTTTGGTACTTATGTTAAGCTACTGTATCTTATGTTTATAGTTTGTAGCATAGTTTTTGTTTTTTTAAAGGTAGCTTATTTCAGCTTAAGTCGCTTGTTGAGAAGCTTCCTCTAATTTCTTAGCCTTGATAAGCTAATTAATGGCCTTGTCATATTGAAGTGATTTATAACATTCTCTGCTTTCTTAAACACTGAAAAAACATTTGCTACAGTAATATTTTATTATATGTAAATTGTCCTTTTTCATCATTATTTCTTTTTCAGAGAAAATCATGTTTTGGCACTTGATATTGGGTGTGCCTTGTTGGTTAAATGGTGACTTGTTCCGTCCTTGTGTTTGCTGTACAGGAAGATGCCCAGTCTGCTGGAGTATCTGAGTTATAACTGTAACTTTATGGGGATCTTGGCCGGCCCAACCTGCTCCTATAATGATTACGTAGCCTTTATAGAAGGCCGATGCTACGAGCCCAAGCACCTGGAGTCAAACGGCAAAGAGAATGGGAAATTCAAGCAGAGTGACCCTTCACCTAAGGTAGTGTGATTACACTGCTCTCTTGCTCCCTCTGGTGACCGTATCACATAAATGATATACATTACATAGTTATACAAGATGATGATACTGATACACACACACACACACACACACACCGTATACATACGGTATATCACCGGTCAAAGTATGAGATGAGTAAGAAAAAAAAACTTTTTAATGCTAAAGACATTTATAATGTTACAGAAGATTTCTGTTTAAAAAAAAGTTGTTCTTTTAAATGTTATATTCATCAGAAAATCCTGAAGAAAAAACAACAACAACAACAACAAACATATTAACCTTTTTTCAACAATAATAATAAAATGAACAATTGATAATTAAACATGAATAATATTTGATAGTAATTGAGCCCCAAATCAGAATATTAGAATAATTTCTAAAGGATCATGTGACATTAAAGACTGGAGTAATGATGCTGAAAATTCAGCTTTGCCATCATAGGAATAAATTACCATTTAAAATATTTTTAATATAAATATTTATTTTTTATTTATACAGTTTATAAATATAAATATTATGTTTTAATGTTTTTGTATTTTTTATTTTATTTTTATTTATTATTTTTATTTTGATTTTTTTTATACAATCTGTTTTAGCCCCTTTACCCCTTTAATAATAATTTTGCCTTTTTTATTTATTACAGAGTCAAAACAAACCCCAAGTTATACATGAAAAACTGAACCAAATGAGTAGTGGATGTTTGGACAGCAAGCAATTTCTAAAGGATCATGTGACATTAAAGACTGGAGTAATGATGCTGAAAATTCAGCTTTGCCATCATAGGAATAAATTACCATTTAAAATATTTTTAATATAAATATTTATTTTTTATTTATACAGTTTATAAATATAAATATTATGTTTTAATGTTTTTGTATTTTTTATTTTATTTTTATTTATTATTTTTATTTTTATTTTTTTTATACAATCTGTTTTAGCCCCTTTACCCCTTTTAATAATAATTTTGCCTTTTTTATTTATTACAGAGTCAAAACAAACCCCAAGTTATACATGAAAAACTGAACCAAATGAGTAGTGGATGTTTGGACAGCAATCATAAATTAAACAAAGAACATGTGAATGTGGATAAACAGGAAAGTAATGACAACATTAGGACTGGTTTTGCCAGGTGGAAAACCTGATGTCAGAACCAGTTTGCAGACCTTAAAGGAAATGCTTTTTGAGTGAGGTAAACAACGCTACTTTCGGTGGACACTGAGAGACAATGAGAAGCACTCAGAAGACTTTAGATTTAAACTCAACTGAACTTCATTGTATGCTACAAACTTCCTTATTGCATGATCAGTTTTTCTTTTGTCATTTGAATGAATGAAAACCTCTATGGCCAGGAGCTCATATTTCTAAGGCTTGCTGAGTGGAGAGTTTGTTTTGAGTGTAGCTCTGGTGATCAGCATGCTTTTATATGCATTTCCTCCTCAGGGGTTTCACAATGGTCTCACTTTAATGGACTCCAGCAACATTTTAACCCAAGTAAACCAGTAAAAGCCGCAGACCTCATTAAATATTGTCAGTGATGTATGTGTTTCATCCTCAATAGACAAACATAAACAAAAGCGTTTGGTGAATCAGCTCGCTCGCATGTTTCACAAGAGCCTGAGGAGGTTGCGTTCACAAATTAATTTCCTGTCACACAGAATCATTGCTGTATTTACCCTCCAGCTCTTTCTGCTCCTCAGTGATTTGATGATAGCAAAGTAAAATGAGCTTTTAGATACTAATGATACATAATGAAACTGATATTCATAGACACTTAAAAAAAGATACACTACTAACGTACACCACTGTTCAAATCATTCAATATATACACTGCCGTTCAAAAGTTTAGGATCAGTAAGATGCTTAATGTTTTTTAATGGAGTCTCTTATGCTCATCAAGGCTGTATTTGATCAAAAATACAGAAAAACAGTAATATTGAATTTTCATCAGCCATTACTCCAGTCTTCAGTGTCACATGATCCTTCAGAAATCATTATAATATGCTGATTTATTATCAGTATTGAAACTCGTTTGGAACTTGTTTGGATTTTTTTTGGAACCTGTGATACTTTTTTCTTTGATTCTTTGAATAAAAAGTTCAAGATAACAGCATTTATTCAAAATACAAATCTTTTCTAACAATATAAATCTTTGCTATCACTTCTTAACAATTTAACACATCCT